TTATTTTGGTCTAGAATGGACCAAGAGGCTTTGAATTAACACCTTCTGCCAGGTTTTGGTAAATATTCATGATTTTGAGGCGGAAGGATAACGGAGTTATCAGTTTGGTTACGATGATATGTACCGCAACTAGTTACATGTTTTTAGTATGCTTCTTCAAGTTTGTGTATCTCAAAATTGTGGTGGTCAATCTCATACAAATTTTAGTGCAAAGACATGACCATTTGTCTCTCTGTCTGTAGTTAAAAGCATTCAACCCAACGAAAATTTGGGGAAAAGTTGGAGGTGGGCAAAGAGGCCAGAATTAATATTGAAGTCAATGGGGAAATTAATGGTGGTCTGCCTCCTGTATACTATTATTACAGTGACCTCACTATTTACTCAAGATGGTCACATCTCTCGTCACTCGGCAGATTCCGGTACTCTACATCTAGCCTCGGCTGTGTGACAGTAAGTGATATGTACCTACGCCTATACATTTGCGATGCGGCACCGGTTTACTTATAAGGGAAACTTGCACGCGTTTAGAAAGAAGTTCTCAAAATTTGTCCTCGTCTAAAGAAAATCGGATAAACTTGAAAGAAAAACAGCTTCAAACTTTGAAAATTTTGTAAGATAAAACATTCTTCAAATACGTCGTCATCAATCACGTCATTGATCGTCATGGACAACGCCATTGTAATCCGGGAACTTGAAAGTAGTTCTAATGGCGGACTTTGTTATACAACCGAGATTAGATGTAGGGTACTGGAATCTGTTGAGGTTTGCCGATTGATCTCTCGTTTGTAGCAACGTGGTTCTTTACGTATGTATGTATGTATGTAGGTATAAAGTGCACATGCATCTGAATCGGAGAGAGGGGTTACACATCTAGGCATAGCCTGTTCCGCAATCCAAATTCATATTTAAGGAATAAAAATATTGGGTTTAAAAAAAAAACCAACCCCCCAAAAAAAGAAAAAAAAACCAACAAAAAACTGGGTTTTTTTTATACTGAATAAAGATTGAGATTAACTTTGATTGTGATTTACTTGGTTATTATTATGTAACAGCCTTAACTTAGTTTTTCACATTTATAGTCATTAAATAAAACGGTCGTTTTGTATTTAACAAGTTATAACCGTCGGCAATAGAAATATAGACTGGAAAGATAAACGACGAGGAGCCATTACACTCGGGTTAGATGTATTTGATAAGGCCTACTTCAAGTTTGGTCAAAGGTCACGAGATGTAAACAGGGCTAGCACTAATCCCAACCCTTGTAGCACTATGGCCCTTGAGACAATTTTGGCTCTTTATAAAATTGTCTCTTCAATTTTGTCTATAAAGTCAAATTATAAGTACTAAATGAACGTGGTTATAGTTGTTCGTAAAAAACTGTGATGTTTTAGTTAAATTATAATCATTGTCAAAATAGTCATCAAATTCTAGCTGTTTATTGACCTATGGTCGGTTGACCAAAAATAGGTAATGTTTCCTATCTTATTAGTGGGAAATAAAGAGTTTTATTCCTTATATGGCGTGGAAATTCACGTCAAGGTTATTGAAGACCTGGAAAAAGTAGGGGGTATAAATTGGGGTGTAGAGGAGAGCTAGATTATATGTTATATATTTGAGAACGAGGAACCTGCAAAGTTATTTCCAGTTTACTAATAAAGCTGTGAAATCATTGTTGCTGTAGTATTATTTACGATCACAAGGAACACAACAAATAAAGAAGTCCGGTAGTACTACACCCTAACACTGGACCTAGCCCCAATGCTTGAACTAACCTTACCCTACAATCTCGCCAACAATCACGTGCCCTAACCTTATTTACATCTCAGCGACCTTGACGAAAATTGAGCTGGCCTTAACAAATAGCTTTAGCCTTACACTTTTAGCCTTTTGTGTGCAAAATAGGCTACGTGTCCTTGGTTGGAAAATTAGCCCCACTTAACCAGTCTACCGACCGTTCTCCGGCTAATTGACAGGCCGGAATATTTAAGACGATTTTCTACAAAACATTACAGAAAGCTAGATCACTAAAACTAATTTAGTAACTCCTTCGGTAGGCAAATCAACAATTGTTTTGAGAACGGTGTAATAGTAAAAGGAAATTACTACTAGCAATTCTTGCATAACAAATGAGCTTCAGAGATTTTAACTTTACTAAACCAACAGATGCCGCTCATAATGGTATAGTTAATAACAAGAAAATTATAAAGAAAATAAACGTAAATTTCTAAAGCTGCTGTAACAAACAAAAGGCTAAATATTACTGTTAACAATAGATTTTCTACAGCTTTAATAGTTGATAGATGTGAGGAAATTTCACGTGCGATGACTACTTAGGGCCTAAAACAACATATTGTACTTCTAATTATTCTGTAACTGCGTAGCTATAGCCTAGTATCACTTGACAGCCAATCATTCGAGCGTGCACATTCATCAATCGCTGTGACTTCAAATTTTGAATATAGCAGGCTGCTGTCGGTGAAAAGATTTGCATCGAAGATGCTAGAATGTGGCTGTTTTACAAGGTATGCGGAATGAGAGAATAGGTGCTGCAATGTTGCCATTTCCGGAAAAAGAGATGCTGTGGTTCAATTGTTTGCCCGAACAGGTGAAAATATATTCTGCTCGCCCGTATCATCATTTTATGAAACAATATATTGCATGGCATACAGCTAGTTCATCGTGGATTGAAAAGCCTTTATTGTGCCGACCGTCTTCATTAGCCCAGTTTAGGAGCAAAACTGTAGGACGTTAAACTCCATTTCATTTCATTTCATTTATTGTGTCGAACCATTAGAGATGTAAGTACATATTATATTGACATATCAAATTCAATGTCTGCTTTCATTAGAGGTTTGAACTCAATTCCCAGAGCTTCTGTGTTAAAGAGTCGATCACAGACGATTGCTGCTGCTGCCCCAATAAGTGCGTCTTGTGTACGAGTCGGCATTCATTATGCACCAGTCTCAACTCATCCCAGTTGTAGTCTCAAACTACAGGGAATCTCAGATAGAGATGTCTCAGAATAATAATATCGATGTTCACCGCGTAGAGGACAGGTCATGTGTCAAGTGTCTGACAGGCCAGAACATACCATACAGGTGATATGCTAGGGTGGGGGCTAAGATAGGAGTGAATATGTTGGTATAAATATTCATATGTTTATTTGGAGATTATTATTTTTTTCCTGTCAAACCCTACAATCGACAAGAACAGTGATAAGCTCGAGCATGTGTACGTTGGTACATTAAGGATGCTCATGGGCTGTTCCAAGATAGCAACAGCCTAAACAGTGTTTAATTATTTAATTTATAGAGGCCTACTATATAATTTGAGGACATGGTTTGATTTTACCAGGTCGTTAGAAATACCATTATTCAGGATACAAATCCGTTTTACATGTGGAAAACATGATTTTGACTCGACTAAACATATACACAAAGAAAAACCGTTAAGCACCCCCTGTATTTTTCAAAATGACTTATCTTACGAGGTTTGGCTTTCGAACCGTTATATTATAACCTTGGCAAAAACTTTTTGGCTCAAATACGTATTGCAGACCTACCCTTTCCATCACCCGCAATGGCGTGTCAAAGGTGGTAACTAAAACCTGCGTCGTTTGGGGCAATAGACTTACTGATTGAAAACAAGAAAAGCTGTTTTAAATAAGATTATATCATCCACAAACAATACGATACAGTTTTATATATCTTACATAGAGCAATATAATAAAACTCGTAATAAGATGCTGGTTAATCTATACAATAATACCATAACCATTCAACACAAATTATGCTGACATTAGATGATAGCTACAAACACTGAAAATACAATAGTTGCCATTATTCATGTGTGCATAAGCAATATTTGTATTGGCTATACCACTTACAATGTTACATTACAGTATTTTATATTTACGTACATAATCATATACATGAGACTATTCTCACACTTCACTTTCAAAGTCATCTAATCAAATAGTTAAATGAAATATTTATAAAATAATTAGCTTACCCGTCTATGTGGGACCCTGCTGAAAGTCTGTAACATGTGGTAAAGATCCATGCACGTTATTTAGTTTTATCCCAGCTACGCAGTTACGAATAACCAACCGGGACAAAGAATCACAGATCACCTGATAAACAACATTTTCAGAAAGACACCACCTTCAGAACTGAAAGATTCCAACGAGTTAGCCTTTCAGCTATACCAGAAATATTAAGAACTAAACCCATATAAAAAATAAAGCATTTCGACCACTAAAATAAAACATAATCCGGACAGTACAATTCCAGGTCCATTTAATACAAAATCCACCACCCTAAACAGTTATACTAACTTATATTAGCTTAAAACCAAAACTATAAACTACAAATTCAAAACTACTAAAGACACTGGTCAGGACATGCATTACCAACATTAATGTAACACAACACTGTTACATACGGCATCTTGGAATTATTTTTCAGAATGATTACAATCTCAAAATTGCATAAACTCCTTATATTTTCGTTTTACCAAAGATATGCTCTTGCAAACCACATTTTGTTTTTCCGAGTTTGATATAAGGGTTTCATCATCAAACCTAGAAAACAAGTCATTGTGAAAAATACAGGAGTGTGCATGCTCAGAAAATAATTACGTCAGGGTAAGTTCAAATATACACGTCAGATGCCCTTAGTTCGTTAAGAATTTTGCCGGACAGTTTCAAACTGTATCAGGAGAAATAATAAGCGGGATCTACACCCCCGTCGATCCCGGTTAAAAGAAATGAAATTTAACGCCCTACTGTTCTGCTTCGGCTGGGCTAATGAAGACGGACGGACAGCGAGGCTATGGTCCACTCTTATATTAAATTCCAACTGCCAAGGGATCTTTTACGTGTACGTCAATGTGTAAACGGGACCTCGATTTTTCGTCCCATCCAAACGACTAGACAGCTGCCCTTGTCGAACCGCCGTCCTGCACTACTGACATTAGTGACAAGGGGAAACCACGCCGGAACGGTTAAAAAGAAGACACAACTTTGATATGAATTTACAATAAATATTGACATATATCTTAGCAGTATTAAAACATATATTGGTGTGAAACAATTTTATAGCTACTTTAAAACCATTTCATATAACATATAGCTTGATCAAACAATGATAAGACTCATTCAAATATTTGGCTTCTGAAATAAATAATTATGTATCTACTGTACATCTGAATTGATAATGTTTACTAAAACAATGATATCGACATATAAAACAAAAATATGCAATTGTCATAATGTATAAACATAGATGTTGTTTGGGTATGAAATGATACGAGTAGCACATAAAATTAAGATCCATTAGTAAAGTCATATTTGCATAAAAATATATAATAACACCGCAACCAATGCTAATTTGTTGGTCATTACTAACATCTTCTTCCTTGAACGGGCGGTGGCTGAAATAAAATATATATATATATATATATATAAGGAAATACGCAATTTCGGGCAAATGCTTTGGTAAAGTGATTACAAAAAAAAGCACTAAATTCATTTAACAGAATAACACGTTGAATTTTTGTTATATTCTAACTTATGGAAGCCCTCGACTTCTTGCCTTTAAAAATCCCCGAGTTCTATCTCCCTCGAAGTCTCGACTTTTTGGTTATTGGCCCTCGACTTCTCGCCTGGAAAGTTCAATTTGTACGCATGTTCACCGACTGCCACCAACAACACAATTTGCCCAAACCCACCCAAATTTACCCAAATCCACAATAATCTACTAATATTCCAACCCAAATCACATTAATTATCATCATGTCGTGATTTGAACGTGCCTGGTGAAAGTTTGATTAGTTATCAAGCAAGGTACTCTTCTGCACCAGTGAAGACGGGAATATTTTAGTAGATAGGACATCATGAAATGTTACGGAAATAGATATATTTATACATTATATTAAAATTATTCATCGGTTGACAAAATACAGAGACTGGCTAGTTATGGAAGCCTATTGTGGCCATTTCATTATCTCGCCTTTGAAAATCCTCGTCTTCTCGCTCCCTCGCCTTTCAGTCTTTTCGCGTTCTCGCTTCGTCACAATCTCGACTTCTCGCCCCCTCGCGTTCTCGCCTCGGAAGTGCAATGTATGCGCATGTCCACTGACTACCGTATCGGCATTTATATTTGGACATGGATTCAAATAAACGGAAACGTTTGGGGTTCTAGTAAGTGTAATAGTCCTAACCAATTTTAATCTCTACTTGCATAGATAGTATTGTATTCTGTACTCAATTTTAAGTCTTCAGCCGAATCTCTAACTTAATCAACATTAATCGGGATTTTTTATGCGTGGTGTAGGACGGAGAGCCTGACAAGGGACAACGTATAGTCGTTCGAATGAAAAAAAAAGAAAAGAAAAAGCAAACCAGGACGTTTGCTCTCTAACTTTATCAACGATCATTGGGAATTTTCTGACGATGTCCACCCTTGTCAGTGGTGTAGGGCGGAGGGCCCGGCAAGGGACAACGTATAGTCGTTCGGATGAAATAATAAAAAAACGAGCTCCCTGGTCCGGAATCGAAATGAAGTGGGAGCTACAGTGGCTCAGTGAGTAGGAAGTTTGCTCACTAACTTGATCGGGATTTTTCTGGTGGGGTTCACCCTTGTCAATGGTGTAGAATGGAGGACTTGTCATTGATTCAAGTGGCTCGGTTTCGATTCGCCGCTTGAACGTGACAAAGACCCCTACGCGCAAGCACATTATTGTAATAAAATTGTTAGTCCCGAAATGACCAGGTTTGTGTCGCGTCTCTCTCTCTTACTCACACACATACCCACACACAGGTGTGCACGTAAAAGAACCCTTTAAGGTTGGAATTCGAAATAAGAATAGGCCCTCGTCGCACACTGCATAGCGTATACTCGCTTTCCATAGCTCAGTAGGGGTTTTGGTAACCGAATGGTTAATGTGTTCGTATTTGATCAAAAGGTCTGTCATTGAGTCAACTGGCGCAGTATCGATTCCTCACTTGTACGTGACAATGGGTGGGTTTTCTCCGGGTCCTCCGGTTTCCTCCTACTGTTAAATACCCTTAAGGTGCTTTTTGATTTAGCTTTGACGTACCTTTGTTTACTGAAACCTCGAACTTCGACTGGAATCCGGATGCTGTAAACTTTAATGTGCAATAACTCGATAATGCAACATAAAAAGTTTATGAACTTTGGCATGTTAATACTTAGTCATCTGTCAATGTGGAGATATAAACATCGACGAGCCACCAGCTTAGTTTAGCCCTAAACCTATTCTCCGATATTATTGATATGTTTACGGTAATGTATTTCGAAAATACAACATAGAGGGCTTCTGAAAGTGTGCAGTCTAGTAGTTGATTCTGTGAAATAAATAACATTTTCCACCAAAGCTTATTTACGTGGTTTTGATACAGCCTGCACGTACCCTTTGATTAATAAACCCCAAAAGTTTGTCCCGAATCCAGGCATGAGAACTTTGCGGTGATATCTATATAAATAAAATCAAATTGTGTATGTATGTATGTATGTTCGCTAATCACGCTTCGTGGCCGAGATCCACCCCGACGTTATAATGTGGTATTAAATTAACCAGCATCACAACATGAATGTTTTAGGCCACTGAATTTGAGCCTTAAGCGAATCACCTTCGTCGCCGCGCTCCACCCCCACATATCTCGTATCAAATTAAAAAGCATGACCACTTGAATGTTTTATGCCATCGAATTTGTTTAAGACTTTTGCTCTTTTATTTAGTAGCATTATATTAATTAATATCTTGGTTAAGTCGTATCTAATGAACCCAGGAATGAGTGACAGATTGGTATATAAAAAAGAGTTATAATTTGGTAAACATTAGCTGGTTCCGTGGGAATGAGAATATCATGTTTAACACGTGATCGGAAAATTAAGATTGCATCATTTGGCTTAATTAACCAATCTCTATAATTATTTACATCATATTTGCGCAATTAGATAATTGAAGGTCCAAAACCCAAAGCTACAAAACTATCATATTTGTGAGCATAGGTCAGACAGCAGCTTGATTCCAGAAGGGAAAAGATGTAGCAATTTCTATCAGCAGACTCGCCCCAGCGAGTCTGACTGGATGGGGTTTGAGGGAACGACTTTAGTATTGTAATCTATTATGCTTGTATCTATGTATCCAGCTATGATATATAAAATGTAAAAACGAAACCTTGCATTGTTATTCTTGAGAGGACAAACCTCTTAACTACTGAGAAGACAAACGACAAAGAAGAAGAGAATACACAACGTGAAGGGTAAGCAAAGACAAGTGAAAATACTGGACGATCACAAGGCTACTAAGATATGTAGTAAGAAAAGATACATGGGTCATACGTAAGATGTGGCGGCCGATTTTTATTGTTGTCCGCTCTCCACGTCTAACAGACGACCCAATGTGCTACATATTTGAGCCACGAGCGAATTTGGCCCCAGGCGAATTTTGGCCCCAGCCGAATTAGGGTCCTGGGCGAATTTGAGCACTGAGCGAATTTGGGGAATCTGGGCCCCGGGCGAATTTGATAATGCATCGTAGAAAGGTAATGAACATTGGTATGTTCATAATTTATTCATCTGTTAATTCAACCAGCGGCTGCCAGGCAGGATACGCCCACATTTTGCAAGAGATGGATAGAGAACAAGCTAAAAACAATTTGTACAATCCGGTGCCATAATCCAGAAAGTTATTGTCTGAAATGCGCAAATATCGACAGGGACTAGGATTTTTGGAATATAAAGATATGTTTTAAGTTTCATCAAAATCGGATAAAAATTGTGACCTCTAGAGGGTCCATAACCTTTGTATTACATAGTTATACACAATTTGCGTATGGTGATATATCTAAACGGTTTTTAAAATCGGAAAAAAACTGTGACCTCTAGAGAATCCACAAGCTAAAAATGCGATTTTTCGATCCGGACACGGGACCTTGGTTTTTATTATCCCATCCGAACGACTATTCGTTGTCCCTTGCCAGGCTCTCCCGTCCTACACCACTGACCCGGGGGAACCACGCATGAAAAATCCCGATAAACGTTGATGAAGTTAGAGAGCAAATAAAGATTCGACTGAAGACTTAAAATTGAGTACAGTATACAATACTATCTATGCAAGTAGAGATTAAAATTGGTTAGGACTATTACACTTACTAGAACCCCAAACGTTTCCGTCTATTTAAATCCATGTCCAGATATAAATGCCGATACGGTAGTCAGTGAACATACGCATACAAGTCGAGATTGTGACGAAGCGAGAGTGTGAGAACACGAGAACGTGAGAAATACTCAAAGGCGAGAACGCGAGGGAGCGAGAAGTCGGGGATTTTCAAAGGCGAGAACACGACTTTCCATAGGCTAGTACTGCCATTTCCTTTATCCAATAAACACCATATCCTCGCTTGTTTATGAAACTACACAATGGAATGTACCGGCGTTGATAGAATATATCTAACTGATCAACTTAGGAAATAAACCCAGCCAACTTACAAGAACACTCGCATCTTCATCTCTATATAAGGAAATCATAACCTTGGTTGGTTATTTTCTTGATCATTTCCAAATTAGGCACGAATAACATGCATATTTCTGGCAAAATTTAACCAATCAAATAATTAATAACTAGTCTCTATCATCCAGACAAATATTCTTCGAATATTAGTCTAGATAGGTTGTCAACATTTGAGAATAATAGGTCATTGGCTAGATTATCTGGTCTTTTATATTACCATGTACAAAATCTAAGGGAGGTAATAGCCCTAAACAAGATGTCGACGCCCATGAAATTAATTTAAGAATTGCCATTTCAGAAAATCTATTTGGACTGGCTGTTCAATATCCAACACTCTTATTTTTCATTGTAAAATTTATCTCTTCATGGACTAGATTTATAGCTGCGTTCACACTGGGGGGGGGGGGGGGTAATTTGAATTGAATTCAGAATACCGTCTTATTCCGGATTTAGGCGTCACACTCAATTCGCTAAAATCCGAACTGAATCTGAAATAACGAATTCTTATATTTTTCCGAATTCAATCTGGAACAACTATTCCGTATCGGGTTATTCATAGTCACGATTTTAGTGTTACATGCTTTATTCAGATCAACGGGATTACCAGAACCGAATAAGTTTGAGCGTATGTTCACTTCTACTCCCGTTTTATCGCTTGGGGGGAAATCGTCTATTTATGAAAAAGGTGTTTGTGGCACACAACCGCGGTACGGTTTTAGGTAAGGCGGACAGGCTTCTTCCGCGCTCCATCTTTGGAGAGATGACGATGAAGAGGTGCAGCTGCAGGCCTCGCATCGCAACCAGTCAGTATACTGAAGGCTGGCTGATCTTTCGTAGGCCCAGGGTTATCAGAGATTAGCTGCTTTGGCTAGAACAGGTCGAAGGAGACCGAAAGGTGTTTTATTTTTGACTTTTGCTTATATTTGTTATATCATAGATGTTCTAAACTGTTGGATTTGAGATGTATCCTGCTTACTATATACACGTATTTTAGAAGAACATTGTGTTCCCGAGTTTTGTATTAGAAGTCAAGAGGTGAAGTGATATTGACATCATATTGAAGTCCAGTTCGAAACACAGCGTGGAGCAAAGAATTAGCGGCCGTGACGAAGTAAATTTCTACCCATTACTTTGAGTGCCGGTTGTGTTACATGCTGTACATATTCGCCCTGCTCTGTTACAAAACTGTTCTTTATATTTAATCACCGTCATAAATAAACCAATGTATGCATTCCATGGCTTCTCACTTTACAAATACATAACTAACGTCATATTTCTTTTTAAAAATTCCACAATTATTTATGTACAACCTAGTCACGATAAAACGATAGGGAATATTATTTATCAGCTCCAAAATATCGAACAAATACTCACAAGAAAGGCTTCCGTTGGTCCAACTTCAACTTGTGGTCTCTTAATTCGAAACTGAAACAATTAATATAAAAAATTACGAATGTTATTGGATAATATGAAATTGAAAACAATGTGCATGAAGACATATTCTTTATTTAAAAAAAAAAGCAAAATAATAAAAAAAAGCAGAGGTTTCCAGGCAAGTTACGTCCACATCTGTCAATAGATGGATAGAGAACAGGCTAAAAAAAAAAGGCGATTTTTCGTACAATCAGGGGCCATTATGCAGGAATTATCTGAAATGGACTTTAAGTTTCACAACCTTGGTATTACATACCTTTGCACTATTTGCGTACAAGGAGCAGCCATTTTGTCAGGCCGTTTCGGTCCGATTTTCACGAAATTCGAACTCAACCGCCATTAGGATGTATCGGTGATACATTTAAAAGCTTTTTATAATCGGATAAGAATTGAGACATCTAGAGGGCCCACAAGCTAAAAACGTGATTTTTTTGTACAATCAGGGGTCATAATCCAGGAAGTTACGTCCCGATATCGAAAGGAACCAAGATCATTGGATATATTATCATACATTTTAAGTTTCATCAAAATCGGATAATAATTGGGACTTCTTGAAGGTCCACAACCTTCGTATTACATTACATTATTGCGTACAAGGAGCGACCATTTTATCTGGCAGTTTGAACTCAACCTAAACTGATGTGTAACGGTGATATATTTAAACGTTTTCTTAAAATTGTGACTTCTAGCGGGTCCACGAGCTAAAAATGCGATTTTTCGAATAATCTGGGTCCATAATCCAGGAAGTTACTTTCCGATATACGCGATTATCGAAATAAACATGTATTTCAAGTTTGATCAAAATCGGATAACAATTGTGACCTCTAGAAGTACCAGAAACTAAAAACGCGAATTTTCGTAAAATAAAGGGCCATTATTCAGGAAGTTACCATCCGATATGCGCGAATATCGACAGGAACTATGATCTCTGGGTTATAAACATGTATTTCAAGTTTTATCAAAATCGGATCAAAATTGTGACCTGTAGTGGATGCACAGCCTTGATATACCATATATACTATTTGCGTAGGTGAGGCGGCCATTTTGTCCGGCAGTTTTGGTCTAATTATCGCGAAATTCGAACTCAACCATCATTAGGGTGTAACGGTGATATATTTAAACGTTTTTTTATAAATCGGGTAAAAATTGTGACCTCTAGAGGGACCACTAGCTAAAAAGGTAATTTTTCGTAAAATAAAGGGTCACAATACAGGAAGTTATGATCCGATGTGCGCGAATATCGAAAGGAACCAAGCTCATTAGGGTATAAACATTCATTTCAAGTTTTATCAAGATGAGATGAAAATTGTGACCCTAGAATGTCCACAAGCTAAAAAGTTTCGATCCGATACATGCCAATATCGAAAGGAATCATATCTTTTGGAGATAAATCTATATTTCAAGTTTCGTCAAAATCGGATAAAAATTGTGACCTGTAGAGTGCCCACAAACAAATTGTGGACGGGCGGGGGCGACGACAATATACGTTCACATGAAAATGTGGGCGTATAAAAAAGGTTACGGCAATGTACATGAACTATGTAAAATAAAAAAAGGTTTTGAGTTCGTGTGAACCAACATGAACGAATCACCGTCTAAGCAGTATCTAAACGAAATAAAATTGTAAATTTAAACAACCCTATCTATCACTCTGAAGTTACATTTATTTCTTACGGTGAACAAGGGTTCGAACGTAAAAAATGTCATTAGCTGCGTCTTTTGTATGTGATATTTTACCTCTTCTTCTGGATTCAAGACATCAAACAGAAAATCCCAGGTGAATGGGATATTGGATATTTTTGGAAAGTTCCAACTCTGACCAGAACTACTACCAACTGTTGTACCTTAAATAAATGGGAGCAAGTGATACAAAAAATATTATACAATATTTACGTCTGTTATACATGTGTATTTCAGAAGTGTCAAACAAATAAATAACATTAATATATAAACGTTCAAGAAACAAACAATATTATTAGCAGGACATAGAAAACGTCGTTGATGAAAGAACGACCATAATGTTTTTTGTTCTAATTACGTTTCATTTCCTCTCCTAAATGTTTAATGTTTGGTAATGTGTGGTCATTTTTTTTCTGTTCAACCTTGAAATGCTTCGTTCACAAAAAAATCACATGCAATATATATTAAACAGAGATCAACAATTTGAGCAAGAAATGAAATAGTGTTTAATGTAGAAGGAAATTATTCAACAGGCTAACGAAAACGAGCATATGCCACGCATGAACCAGGCTATATTGCGTCAAAGATATGATAATCTCTATGAACGATCGAAACATTACCTAAATATGTTCCCTTTCTCCTATTGATTCTATAAGAGTTTGAACCAAAAAGATAGGTTTATGGTGACGACGATTATTTGTGTCTTCAAGCCATAGCCCGTGAGGGGGCAGCTGCGATACTTGTCCAGGGGCCCGGGGTCTAGAGGGGCCCGGAAGTATGCCAAGTAATGTTTTCAAACAAAATTGTTTGTATAAATTGATAAAAGAAAAGTACACTGTTACTTGATCGTAAAGTAGAAGTAAACCGGTGACTTTTCCGAATGTGGCCTGGATTTTTGCCTGACCCTAAGTCACGTGCCTTATTTGCCTAATGATTAATCCGGCAATGGGCCTATGAGCGCGCCATTGTCGCGTCTGTCGTCAGTGATCATGTACGCGGTTATCGATCGCACTATAGGTCGGCTGACTGGTTTCCGATCTATAAAAACGATACTGAAAGGGAAATTTATACATTCGTCTTATTTTTGTTACACAGGGTCGGATTAAACTTGCGTGGGGCCAGTGGCTGAATATGTCTTTGTGGCCCTTGCATCAACAAATGCAATTTGTATGCCAGTATGCTGATAGAAAGGCGGTCGACGTTTTTTCGGCACTTAAAATTTGTGATTTTTCAAAACGATGTATTCATTGTTTCTCGACATAGTAAAAGTACGCGAACCTATAACTACGAGACGCAACAGATAAGGATTGTAACAATTGTAGATCACACGTCGGCGCCAGCGAAGCCTATACAAGCCCGACAAGTTACGACTACCCGGCAAGCACAGAGCTGAGTTGTTTTGATATTCGAGGTAATCTATTATAAAAGATTATTTATCAAACAGAAAACAACCAATCATTAAAGGCGGCAGCTCTAATCTTAATATAATCGCAAGTGTTCCCAATGGATCAGTACTGGGTCGACTTCTTATCCTTATTTATATGAATGATGCTACTAAAACTATTATCTGTAACATTCGTTTATTTGCAGACGATACACTGTTGTACCTAATTATTGAAACCCCGGGTTAATCTTTATCTTGTTCCTAATAACAATAAATAAAAATAAATTGCTACTGGTGTAAATTATTTAAACAAAAAACTATTTTTTACTTTAACATCTGACCTGTGAAACAATTTTCCAGAAGACACAAAAAACAATCAAAGTACATAAAATTTAAACAATCGGTTGCCATGCAAAATACGCCCAAATTTTGCAAAGAAATAGACAGAGAACAGCTAAAAATAAGAACCCAAGATGTCATGGTCCAACATGCGTCAATATCAAAAGGAACTGAGATTTTTGGGATATAAACTTATCAAAATCGGATAAACATTGTGACCTCTACTATGGAAGACTAAACAGCACTTTATTCACTGTTCTTAATTCTTAGTTCTAAATTCATAGTCCTTAATTTTTATTTCTTCATTTGTTATCGTTTTTCGACATTTGTACACTAAAATTAACATTTGTATCTTAAAATCAATAATTGTTTTGCAAATCAGACATTTGTCATATCAGATTTGAAAAATGTATTTTTGTTTAATTTAATTTTAATATAAAGATAAAATTTAATTTAGTAAATCAAAAAAAATAATCTACATTTATATTTCATCATAGAAATAGAACGAAAAACAAATCTCAAACAACAAATCTCCAAATACAAATCTTGCAAAACATTTCAAAAACATTTCTTTAATAACATTTCTCGAAATTCATCGAACCGGAATATTATGAGGACATGAGCGGAAATCAACCTGGCATACAATAAGTCACCATACAACAAAGGAGAATCGAGCAAACATATACAATAAGAAAACCAGCTCTATGATCGAGACTTCAGTGAAATCGCGTGCGTGTTATGCCTCTCTCTCTATATATATATATATTGGTTAATCTGATCTAGCATTAAATAGAATAAATAGACAGTAGTCTATTTTCAGAAATTAGGTTTTATCTGATAGCGACATATTTATTTGGACAAACGAAAGAGGGCTTTATCTCTTCTAGTACATAGCTAATACTATATCTGCTTTAACAAGGTACCTAAATATGAATATGTCAGAAAATATTTTACAATTTTGAAAATGTATTCGGACTTTTTTTAATGGTATGCATCCCGATATCTTGTATTTTGTGTTATGGTCAGTATTTTGAAGTTACTCCCCCCCCCCACTCCTCATTTAATACATATTAGTGCCATTTCAAATTTGTTGTTTTTTTCAAGGGGTGTGTAAATACAAATATGCAAGAAAATAATTTACATGTTGTAGCAAACAATAAACATACTTTCCAGCTGTATATGAACAGATATCGAGAATTTCTTATTAAGATCGGTGTTTTGACTTTAAATATCCCCCCATTAATAAAGTTTAGTACTGTGGAACTTCGATCGCTTTTTCAAAGTATGTAAATATAAATGTGCCAGAAAATAACTTGAAAAGTTGTACGCTATTAAACTCTATTAATTGATTGGGAGGGGTGGGTGGGGTCTTAAATGTCAAAATTCCGGTCATACTACGACATTCCAGATATCACACAGAATACCACTGAAATTTAAATTATATTGTGGCACATTTAAATTTACATAGCTTGAAAAGGGTATTACAGTTGGGTGACCCTAAATACTATTAAATTAGGGGGAGGGGCAGTTGGGTGACGCTTGCTCGATTTTGGAGAAATGTTTTGCAAGATTTGTGTTTGGAGATTTGTATTTAGAAATTTGTTGTTCCAGATTTGGTTTTCGTTGTATTTCTCTGATGAAATGTAAAATAATTTTTTTCTTTATATTAAAATATATTTTACAAATCTGATATGACAAATGTCTGATTTGTAAAACAAATATTGATTTTAAGATACAAATGTTAATTTTAGTATACAAATGTCGAAATGCGACAACAAATGAAGAAAAAAGAATTAAGGAGAGAGAGAGAAATGGGGTTTAACGTCCACTCGACACAAACTAGGTCATTTCGGGACTAACACATGGTTCAATTTTATTTCAATCATTCGCTTGCGCGTAGGGGTCTTTAGCAGTGGGAGGAAACCGGAGGACCCGGAGAAAACCCACGAGGTTGGACAGGCGACCCTACTCCTTGTCACGTACAACTTGGGAAATGAAACCCCACCAGTTGACTCAATGACAGACCGTATGATACAGCGCGCTGTGTGCTAACCATTTGGCCACCCAACCCCCCAAGAATTAAGGACTATGAATTAAGAAATAAGGACTATGAATTAAGAAATAAGGACTATGAATTTATGAATTAAGAAATAAGGACTATGAATTAAGAAATAAGGACTATGAATTAAGAAATAAGGACTAAGAATACTGAATAAAGAGCTGTTTGGTCTTCCATACTCTAAAGGGTCCACAACCTTGGTATTACATGCTCATTTTACTATTTGCGTAAAGGGGAGTGGTCATTTTGTTAGCCAGTCTCCGTCCGATTTTCATGAAATTCGAACTCAACGGTAATTGTAACAGTAATATATTTGAACGTTTTTCTAAAATCAAATCAAAATTGTGACCCCTAGAGGGTTAACAAGCTAAACCATGATTTTTCGTACAGTCAGGAGGCATAATCCAGGAAGTTAAGGTCTGATATGCGCCAATGTCGATGGGAACTGGGATCCTTGGAATATAAACATATATTTTAAGTTTCATCAAAATCGGATAAAAGACTGAACTCTTGCGGGTCCATAAGCTAAAAACGCTGTTATACGTACAATCAGGGGCCTGATCCAGGAAGTTAATAACCGATATGCCATCAATATCGAAAGGAACCGGGATCTTTGGGATATAAACATATTATATTACGTAAAGTTTCATTAAAATCAGATACGAATTGTTTGTGCCATACAACATTGCACGTGTAAGGGTTCGTGCACATAGATTATAAACTGGAGATGTACGAAATGGTCCTAAAAGTAAAATATACGCGTACCGTATACGTATACAAAATACACCCACAGTCGAGATTTGATCTTATTAATACTTGATATAATCTGAACAAGATCTTGCTTTGTGCTCACAATACACCCATAATCGAGTTTAGATTTTTATTAAGTGTTGATATAATTTGAGCGAGTCCTTACTGTCTGCTCCTCGGCCAGTGTTAGATAAGACCCTCACTATGCTGAAGGCTTTCAGACATTTATTTTTTGGTGTGAGGGTAAACCATATGAACCACAGAAATTTGGTCTCATCCACAATTGGAAGGTGATTGCTATCCAAGAAGAGTTCTGGGTCTGGATGCAAACCTCGTTTCTGACATAAGTGCACACAGAAAAAGTAAGATAAAGCTGGGTATATGTATAAATATGTTGACGCAACTGTTGGAGATGTTTTTGTGGGGCAACATGTTTACCTGCAATATTATATTCGAACTTCCGACTGCCACTTTTCAGTATTCCGGATTGACCACTAATATTTTTCTCTTCATCATAATACTGTCTTGTGTTTTTAATCTTATCCAGATCTTTGATATAACGACTGTTCATAGTCTGTGACCAATCATCATCGCTAATACCACCGTCTCTATGTATGCCTTGCCGTTTATTTCTGCTCTGATTTCTTAAATTATTTCTTCCCTGACTTAGTTGTCCCCGTCTACTCTGGTACAGATTAACACTTCTACTTTTACCCCGATTGGGTTGACTGCCAATTCTTTGACTTCGTGGATTATATTCAGTACAAAGGGTTTCAAAAGCCGGGGATAAACTGGATGTAAAATAATTACAACAGACATGTAAACACATAAGAATCATTTAACGAAACAATTGGGCGTGTTTTATAACCCACACCACAGATTGTGTACCACTGTTGGTCTATTCTAAAGGAAGACACACAATCTGCATTCAAAGAAAAGAACAGAAACGAAAAAAGATCTGGTGCACATATAAATGCGTCATTTGCCCAGCATTGTGGTACACGCTAACAACCTTGCTTGTATATGTTAAAATGTCTAAACATATATAATATAATAGATCCAATAAGTCACACAAAATTATTTTATCGTTACATTATCTGTGTTACATTTTTACAAAAGAACTCACGGATCTCTTCGTTTCTGATTTAATTTCGCTCTATGTAAGCATACGCTTAAAATAACTACCACCATCAAGATGAAAACAGCCAAAGCTATGCCTATGCCCAAACCAAGCGCTAATTCTAAAGTTCTATCTGTAAAATAAACAGTGAATTAATCTGTAGACTGTATATTAAATACTACATGAAATAATAACTAAGCAAGTGCTTGAAAATATACATAGCAAATGATTAAACACTTGTCTGATGCGACTATGAACGATTTTAACAGTACTGTATGTATAAAATATTTCCATTTTATATTAAAATGACAAAGAATGAAACAGAATGGGGATATTTCTTTATTTTTTTATATTAAAAGATCCAAAATGAATATGAAAATAATTTACCTGTTAAACCTGCGTCCTTGATACTGAAAAACAGAAATAAAACGAAAAATAAGAAGCAAAATACACCTATATAGTCAGGGCAATTAAAATGTTTAGATTAAAAGCAGGGTCATTTGGGTTTTATGTTCAACCTAAAATGTTTGTATATACTAGCAAATGATTGGATGTTATAATAATAGATCAGCCAGAAAAATTGGATGTTACAAAAATAGCCAACAACCTTGGTATTACATATTTTTACATTATTTGTGTTCGAGGAGCGGCCATTTTGTTGAGCAATTTAGTTTCCATTTTCACGAAATTCGAACTCAACCGTCATTAGGGTCCAACGTCGATATATTTGAACGGTTTTTAAAATCGGGTAAAGACTATGACCTCTGGAGAGACCACAAGCTGGAAACGAGATTTTTTGTACAATCAGGGGCCATAATTCGTGAAGTTATAGGGTTCGATATGCACAAATATCGAAATGAACCAAGATCTTTGAGATATAAACATATATTTTAAGTTTCATCAAAATGGGATAAAAATTGTGACCTCTAGAGAGCCCACAACCTTGATATTACATACTAGAGTGTCCACAAGCTGAAAACTAGATTTTCTTTCGTATAACCAAGGGCCATAATCCATGACGTTATGATACATGCTAGTATTGAAAGGATCTGTGGTAGATAAACCTATATTTCAAGCTTCGTCAAAATCGGATTAAAATTGTCACGTGTAAAGTGTCCACAAACAAAATGTACAGGGGTGACGATATACCTCCACTGTGACATATACCATTCATCAAATTGAACAATCATTTAAAACTTTATGACCTCTGCTGATTTTTGATAATATATGATATTGACGTTACAAGTCTGTCTAAACTTCTGTTAAGGCATGGACTGGCTATGATCTAATTAAACAGGTAATTAATTCAATAAAAAATATGTCCTTTACAAGCTACACATGATCTGTGTATGACACTCGGCAGGACTTCAAAGAGAATGTAGTAGTGGTCAGTGCATCATACCATGACCTGTTAATGACTTCAAAGGGAATAGACAGTGCAATTACAGATATCATAATCTGATAAATAAATAATACCATATATATGATGACCACTCTTAACCATTTTCCCTAATTATCGTACGTTATATAACCAAGAGTTTGCTGACGGTTAGGCAGACGACTAGAGGCGAGCGGAGACCGAGAGGCCGGCGTATGGAATCACCGAGTTTAGCCGCTGCCTTGGCAGAGGGGCAGAATGGTGAATTTAATATAGTTATGTGTGTTTCTGTCGTAGTCTAGTTCCTGTATTGTTTAAGTTCCCGTATTGTTGTTGTATGTAACTGTAGCTCTTTTATATACCTGATGTAAACAAATCATATACTTACTAAACTGATCTCTGTTATCACTAAAATAGTGTCACACCACATGAAAATGTGGGTGTATCACGTAATTTTTGTGGAAAAGAGAGCATAACTGGGTAAAGTAAGGGTTCGTTACAAAAATAGATCAGCTGGAAAGAAAACTGAAGAAAAGGGTGGACTTATATACTTACTGACAGTAAAATGAGGTTTTAATTCTGTCATATACACATATTCCACCACATATAATACACTGGACTGCATGACTTATATTAGCTGTAATAATACCCAGACTAATTTTAAAGTAAATCTTATCATTTAGTGCATTTTAATATTAGACATTATAATATAACAACCGATTTCAATTCTTATATTATATGCCTGAAATATGGTATTAAACCCAAGACACACACACATGGTTTGTAGCAGAACATGCTTACTCTATTTTTCGGAACACCAATACCACTTCAGCACTGGCCCGTTATTGATTACTGTGACAATTTCCCATTGCAGAAATCACTTAGCTCACTTTTGCTTTTCATTGTATACGTGTTTTGTCTTTGATCATCACTAATAATCTTCATGTATTATGTACAATGCCTGTATTGTTAACAATGTCTTAAATATGACAACTTCTGAAATGATTGAGCTGTGAACACCGGGACTTGTACATAAACATGTAAAACAAACTACAATATTTTATAAAGAGTTAGCAATTTAGACTTAGCAACGATAAAACCGTTATATTTAGCATCAAACGACTATTTTTGGATGAAATGAGTATTCGTGCTGTTCAGAATTGACTACTGCAATGCCATACTTTCTGGAGTAACTGATGAACAAATTTCCAAGTTGCAAAGGATCCAAAATCGTGGTGCACGAATTGTGCCTAAAGCTAGATCAAAATCACACATCACTCCCATCTTAAATAATCTTGACTGGCTCCGAGTGCGTGAGAGAATTAACTTTAAAATTTTAACTCTGACATACAAAACGTTACATAAAACAGCACCAAGATATCTTCAGAATCTCTTGACACACTACCAACCAAAAAGGTCACTGAGATCCGAGAATAAATTATTGTTAGATGTACCGATTTATAAGAAATTTGGTTCAAGGACTTTTCAGTATAATGCATCAATTCTATGAAATTCGCTACCACCTTCCATTCGAAAATGTAAAACATTGTCTCTATCTGCAAATCAAGTGTGAAAACCTGGCTGTTTCGTCACTATAATTAACCCACGTGAATACTTTCATGCACCTAGAGCTTCCCCAAGTGGGATGAATTGTTGCGCAATATGAATTTCGTTATTATTATTAGATAGATGAAATAGGAAATGGTGGTTTCAGAATTACCCAGTTGCTGCATGGTTTGAATTTATTTTCCCAAATCATTTCGCCAGAGACGATATAATAACGAACGTGTGCATACGTGTTAAGAACCAAATGAACACTGAATGAATCTTTACTTACGTGTTACAGCTACATCTACGGCGTTATTAGTCAGGTAGATCGGTGCCGTAAATTTTACACAGTTATCACCCAAATATATGCAAGATCGCGCCTCTAAAGCCTTGAGTTGTACTGCTATTGAATAACAGGCAGTTCCATTCTGGCAACTTGATGTATTTCTAGCAGCTTTTAGTGTTATATTATAATCGATTATTAGACTACCGGACCTACATTTAAAACACAGTAATGATAGTCAATTCATATCTGAAGATCGATTTCAAATATTTGATAAATAATGATGTTAATAAGGGGATTATACTACATCCTAATCTGTATTTTTAAGATAGCCAGGATGGAACCGAGATCTTTGGGATATAACCATACATTTTAAGTTCACCCCCAAATCGGATAAAAGTTGTGACATCCACATGCTTTTACACTATTTGCATAATGTATGAATGAATGAATAAAATGGAGTTTAGTTCCAACCGGGATATATTGCGCCAAACACATGATGAATTTAATGAGACAAATTAAGGAAATATCACAAAATTGTAATTATATATGTAAATAAAAACAAATATCAGAGACAATAAAATTAAAAATAAATATATCATTTTACATATATAAATATTTAAAAAGATATAATACATATGATAAAATATGTACAGTTAAAATTTTGAGTAAAAGTTTGTCTCTTTTAAAAGTTTAAAGTTTTATTAATAGTTCCGGTTGGGCGAATAATTGACGTAGAGACTGGCAACGGTAATAATTTGATCTAATATCCTTGAGATGCTTGCACTCAATCAGAATGTGCTTAACTGTCAAAGGAACATGGCAGTATTCAAATTCTGGTTGAGGCTCTCGCTTCAAGATGAAAATGTGGGTTAAAAAAGTAAGACCTATGCGAGAGCGACACAAAACTACCTCATCCCTCCTGTTAGTTCTATGGGAGCTTGGCCAGTCTCCTAAGAGAGGCTTTACGTGATGAAGTTTGTTTGTGCCTGCAAGATCCCATGACCGTTGCCAGCGGCCATAAATGAAAAAAAATATTGATGAATTAAAATCTTTAAAAGGTAACAAAAACGGTGATAGGGGAAGATCTAAAGCAGCTTTAGCAGCAAAATCTGCTTTATTTCCGCATTATATCAACGTGACTGGGGAGCCAGCAAAAGACAATGTCTTTGCTGTTTAACTCGTAAAAAGTAGAAGACAATAAACATCTGCTATCAATGGGTGTTCAAGCTTTTTATTGTTAATTGCTTGAAGCGAGGACAGAGAATCAGTAAAGATGATGTGTTTTTAAGCTGATGAGGACTGGATAACTCCAATGCTTGGAGAATAGTTGGAGGTCAGCTGTAAAAATAGAAGCAGAGGGTGGAAGTCTTACAGAAATGGTCTCAGATAGTGTCACGGTAGCCGAAGCTACCCGATCATCATCTTTCGAACCATCTGTATATATTGGCGCATAATCACCATATTTAGAACTTAGCTCTCGAAAGAGAGACTGAAAACCCGTGGAGCTAGTATCTCTCTTTTTATGCTGTGTAAGATCGAAATCGATCTTTGGGGGAGATACAGCCCATGGTTAGGGTGGCCCACCATAAATAAATATCTCCATATATCTCGACAATTTCGCCACAATATTTATATATATGCCAAGCCTCAAATCAGTTTCACACAATTATAGTCACTAAATAAACGATCATGTTGTACTTAATAAGCTATGACCATTAATCATCTATAAACAATAGACTGAAAACTGGTTCCATGTGTCGTCCATAACATCCAGACACTCTTGAGTAAAAGATAGGTTACGTGCCCTTGTTTTGAAATTAGTCTCGCCTAACCAGTCTATCGACCATTCTAGGGCTGATTGACAGGTTGGGATAATCAAGACTACTTTTTTACGAAACATAACAGAATGCTAGAACAAGAAATTGAATTTAGAAATGAGCACGTTAGCTAGCTAAACAATTAAGAAGCTTGTAAAAGTAAAATGAAACTACTGCTAGTATCATGTTCCTGTCTAACCCGAGTGCTTCAGAGATATTATTTGTACTAAACCAAAAGATGCCGCTCTTAACGGTACAGTTAATGATAAAGCGATTTAAAAAATGAAAAGAACGTAATTTCTAAATCTGCTGTAATAACCAAGAAGCTTAATTTTACTGCTATTCAAAATCGTCAACAATAAATTTTTTACGGCTGTAATAGTTGATAGATTTGTAGAGAATTGCACGTGCCATGGCTATTTATAGTATCATACTGTCAGAAAGTTGGACTCGACACGGCGAATGTGCACGCTTCAGTGGTAGTCTCGAACTATTAGCGGTTGACTGTATTTCTGTAGTACATGGGTCACACTACGCATGGTGGGGTCCTAAAGAAAGGGGACCGACCATTTTGACGAGAAGTTTTGGTCTCATTTTCAACAGTGATTATAGTGTAACGGTGATATATATGAACGTTTTTTTTAAATCAAATAAAAATTGTGACCTCTAAAGGGTTCATAAGCTAAAAACGCGATTTTTTCGTACAATCAGGTGCCATAATCCAGGAAGTTACGGTACGATGTGCGTGAATACCAAAAAGAAATCGAGGCTCAACCATCATAAGGGTATATATTCAAACGTTTTTTTTGAATCGGATAAAAATTGTGACATCTAGAGGGGCCTCAAGCTAAAAACGCCATTTTTCGTACAATCAGGGGGCATAATTCAGGAAGTAACGATCCGATATGCACGAATATGGAAAGCAACCAAGATCTTTGTGTTATAAACATGCATTTTAAGTTTCATCAAAATCGGATTAAAATTGTGACCTCTACAGGGTCCACAACATTAATATACCATATTTTTACGCTGTTTGACTACGAGGAGTGGCTGGATTTTTACGAAATTTGAACTCAACCATCCTTATGGTATAACGGTGATGTATTCAAACGTTTTTTTAAATCGGATAAAAATTATGACCTCTATAGGGTCCACAAGCTTAAAAACGCGATTTTACGTACAATCAGGGGCCATAATTCAGGAAGTTACGGCCCAATATGCGCAAATATCGAAAGGAACCGAGATCGTTGGGTTATAAACTTACATTTCAAGTTTCAACAAAATCGGATAAAAATTGTGACCTCTATAGGGTCCACAACCTTGATATACCATATTTTTACGCTAATTGAGAACAAAGGGCGGCCATTTTGTCTGTCAGTTTTGGCCGATTTTCACGAAATTCAAACTCAGCCGTCCTTAAGGTGTAACGGATATATAATAATACGATTTTTTAAATCGGATAAAAATTATGACCCCTATAGTGTCCACAAGCTAAAAACGCGATTTTTCGTACAATCAGGGGCCATAATTCAGGAAGTTACGGTCCGATATGCTCGAATATCGAAAGGAACCACCATCTTTGGGTCATAAACTTGCATTTCAAGTTTCAACAAAATCGGATAAAAATTGTGACATCTAAATGGTCCACAACCTTGATATACCATATTTTAACGCTATTTGAGAACGATGGGCGGCCATTTTGTCTGTCAGTTTTGGACCGATTTTCACGAAATTCGAACTCAGCCGTCCTTAGGGATTAACGGTGATATAAGAATACGGTTTTGTTAAATCGGATAAAAATTATGACCTCTATAGGGTCCACAAGCTAAAAACGCGATTTTTCGTACAATCAGGGGTCATAATTCAGGAAGTTACGTTCCGATATGCACGAATATCGAAAGGAACCGAGATCTTTGGGTTATAAGCATATATTTCAAGTTTAAACCAAATTGGATAAAAATTGTGACCTCTACAGTGTTCACAAGCTAAAAACGTGATTTTTCGTACAATCAGGGGGCACAATCCATGAAGTTACAGTCCGATACAGGCCAATATCGAAAGGAACCGAGATCTTAGGGTGATAAACCTATATTTCAAGTTTCATTGAAATCGGATAAAAATTGTGACCTGTAGACTGTTCACGGGCGACTACAATATACGTCCACATGACGTATTTAAAAAGGTAGTCTCAATCCCGTTAACTCCGGAGTGAAAGGGTTCGAGACCTCGTAACCTCAAGGTTTTTCACAAAATGTAAAGAATAGAAATCAACAAAAAGTACTATTTTCATGGCACTATTCTAAAGTTGGGTTGCCAAAATTTATTGAAAGTAGATTATTGAAACCATTTTATATTGCCTCTCATATTTCTAAAACGCAACGAGTGAATGACAGCAATTCAAAATTCTGAAGACTATTTTGAAAAATAATCATGCAATATATATGTTAATATATCTACTGTTAAATTACACTATAATTAAATAGAATTGATTACATTGTACTTACCATATTCGCCAAACTTTAATTTCGCTTATATTCGTAATATTCAATTCTTTAGATATCTATATTGAAGTAAAAGTTAAATTGAGGGGTTAAATGTTATATTCCTCAATGGCGTAAAATATGTGACGCAATATTATTTGGTACTAGTCTTTTCTAGTAAATGATGCTCGTGTGCTCTTTTCTTATATTCAGTATTAAATCTTTTCACCAATTATTACTAACATAACAGGATATATTATAAGATCTCAAAACCGGATGTTTACTACATGTTTAATATGGTTAATTTGTAGATTCTAAATAATAACTTTACTCGTCGCATTGTATTTACACGTTTCTCTTATTAAACCTTGATCACACCGTTTGAAAAAAACAGATACCATGGTTTTAACTCAGAAAACACATCCCTGAAAACGACTTACAAAGGAAAGTCACTGGTGGGGAAGGGGTGGGGCTGTTGTTAAATCGAAGCCCCCCCCCCCCGGGGAAAACACATGAGACCGGGCAGACGAACATACTCCTTATCACATACAAGCTTGGTATCGAAACCATGCCCGCCACGTGACCCAATGACAGACTGTATGAACTAAAGCACACGTGTTAGACCACTAGACCACCCAACCACCAACCAAATTTTGTTTACAGCAAGACCTAACAAATATGGAAATTCGACCACACAGAAGCTATATCTAAACATCTGCTTATCCGATAGGAAATTTTGAATTTTGACCAAATTTGCGAAGTATGTATGACCCTTCAAGAGATCTAACCTCTGTCGTGTTAATCTTTTCCTGGTGCATTTTGTCAGTAACTCTATCGATTATATCTCATGTCACCAATGCTTTACAAGAAAGTTTTTTTTAAAAAATCCGTTAGAAACTGTAGCGTCTATCGCCTTAACGAGCCGATTTTTGACGGATGAACGGACGAACATGGGTAAAGACATAATACGCCAACCCTTAGATGATTACTTACAGCACTTTCCGCCTGATTACCGAGTTGTTGAAATTCAGTTGAATTTGCATCATTGTATGCTGGCACAAATGTTTTATCCAGATACATCTTCATATATAACATTGATTTTGTCTCTACAAAAGAAAGATAGCCACGCAAAGCAAAGCGTGAAAATACGTCCACACAGCAGCTATGTGTCAACTGTAGTTTATCCGAAAGGGTAGGTCTCTATCATGCTCACAAGGTTATCAGTAATTCCGGAATGGAATATCGCCGAAGGCTGAGTATCAATAGGATCTGTCCTCTCATGACCCAAATGCAACGCACCAAATACGAAATAAATCCTTTACAAATATGTTTTAAGGAAGGTGAACTTAACTTAACTCTAGAATGGATGGTCACGGAACACAGAATATCGATAGGGTTCATCCTATCATGAAACCCAATACTTCACACCAAATATGAAAATAAACTCATTAAAAACTGTAACAAGATTTTCGGACAAGGGGGATAACTCCGGAAAGGAGGGTTGCAGACTGCTGACAATCGATAGGATTCGTCTTCTTATATGACTTCATCTCTTCAAACCAAATTTGAAATAATCTGTTATAAACTGTCGCTTCTATCGCGTTAACAGGTAGCGGAGTGCTGAAAAGTGACAATGTTCGTCTTCTCACGACTCAAATGCCTCACATCAAATTTTAAAAAATCCATCCGTCAAGAACTCTAGTCTCTATCGTCTTAACGATAAATTGCAATGTCAGAATGTCAAGGGCAATAACTCCAAAACATATAATCGCAGAACGCTGAAAATGGACAGGAATCAGTTTCGTATGGTGTGCATGCTTCATACCACTCAAACACTCGCGCCGCTATCGCGCTAACAAGAAATTTTCTTGCCGGACTTGGATTGACAGGGCCAATAACTCTGGAATGAAATGTAGGAGAACGCTGAAAATCGATAGGGATCATCCTCTCAAGGTTTGCAATCAACACACGAAATTGGTAATCATCAAACCAAATACGTCATAAACTGTACCCTCTATTGCGTTAACGAGAAATTGTTGATGGACGGACTGAGGCGACGACTATATACGCCCAAATTACGTGTGTGTCCTTAAAAATACTAAATAGTATATTTATTCTGTAGAATAGGCAAACTGAACATTTTAACAACACTGAAATTTAACAAATCAACACAAATACACACAGGTAGCATATATTTTGTCTTTGTAAAATACAGTTCTGTCAATTGCATCAGTGAATGTGAAGAAGGAAGTGCAGGTGATTGTATGAACAATCTACCATTAATACCGTACTTTTTTCTCGGATTATTTTATATTAACCCATAAACATTTTCTTGTTTTTACAAAATGGCGACAAGAGAATAAGAAGGAGTCGAATGCTATTTTACGAAAATGAGTCTAGCATGATGAACAAAAAAGATCTATGATAGACATTCTTTGAAATATATCACTTCTATTTATTATTATTACAGAATATTTATACTGCACCCTTTCATATAACATGATCAGGGGCACTTTACAAAGTGAGAATGTAATCATAAATAAACAACAAGATTATGGACATGTTAACGATTGTATACAGAGTCATTTAAAAGCCTGATTAAATAAATGTGTTTTAAGTTGTTTTTTAAAAGAATATAGAGATCTACAACATCATATCTTTTAAAGTCATGGCAAAATCTTATAAGCCTTACCGACGCCAGCTAAATAACCTTTCATAAAGAACATGGGTAGGCCTAGTATAGATATAAAGCCAAAATGAACCATAACAACACTGTTGTTATAGACCCTTTTCGAACTATTAAACATCTGCAAAACCGAGATATATTATACTGAATGTATGCATATTCGATATTTTTCAAAATTCCAATGTCTGTAACTATACAATTTCAAAGATAACAATGAGCTGATTAACGTTTCACATAATTTAATCGCTATATTTGTCTATTAGCAGCGAGGAGTTCAAACAGCTAATTGAAGAGAAAAAAAATATATGAACTGTTTGTTTTACTATCTCATTGTTATAATATTAAAAGTGCAACAAAATGTATTAACAGTGTGGTATCAGGTGTTTAGGAATCTATTAAATAAACTCTAACCTGTTGCAGTCGTTGTCGTTTCCACTTCTGGTTTTGTTGCTATTTGCAATGTGGTTGCGGTCTTAGATCTGTAACTCGTTTCAGTTCTTGGTGGTGGCGTTTTTCTGGTTGTACTAGTATTAGTCTTCGTACCAGTTACTTGGCTTTTAGTGGGTGTAGTTACCTGGGCTGCAGTAGTAGATGGAATAGTTGTTCCAGTTGTAGTAGTTCTAGTTGCTTGGCTTTTTGTTGATGTAGTTACCTGGGTTGTAGTAGTAGATGGAATAGTTGTTCTAGCTGTTGTAGGCGTGGTTACTTGGCGCTGTGTTGGTGTAGTTACCTGGGTTGTAGTAGTTGATGGAATGGTTGTTCTGGTTGTAGTCGTAGACGGAGGTGTTGTTCGGATTGTAGTTTGTGTAGTGGCCTGGCTTGTTGTTTGTGGAATAGTTGTTCTAGTTGCAGCAGGTGTAGTTACTTGGCTTTTAGTTGGTGTAGTTACCTGGGTTGTAGTAGTAGATGGAATGGTTTTTCTGGCTGTAGTTGTAGACGGAGGTGTTGTTAGGATTGCAGTTTGTGTAGTGGTCTGGATTGTTGTTGATGGAATAGTTGTTCTAGTTGTAGTAGGTGTTGTTACCTGGGTTGCAGTAGTAGGTGGAATGGTTGTTCTGGTTGTAATTGTAAAAAAAGATGGAATAGTTGTTCTAGCTGTAGTATGTGTAGTAACTTGGCTTTTAGTTGGTGTTGTTACTTTTGTTGTAGTTTTGAATGGAATGGGTGTCCTGTCTGTAGTTGTAGAAGAAAGCCTTGGATGAGTTGTAGTTTTTCTAGTGATCTTCCTTGTTCTTGGTGGAATAGCTGTTCCAGTTGTAGTAGGTGTAGTTACTTTGCTTTTAGTTGGTGTAGTTACCTGGGTTGTAGTAGTAGATGGAATAGTTGTTATAGTTGTTCTAGTTGTAGTAGGTGTAGTTACTTGGCTTTTAGTTGGTGTAGTGACATGGGTTGTAGTAGTAGATGGAATAGTTGTCCTGGCTGTAGTTGTAGAAAGAGGTACTGTTCGGGTTGTAGTTTGTGTAGTGATCTTGCTTGTTGTCGTCGGAATAGTTGTTCTAGCTGTAGTAGGTGTAGTTACTTGGGTTATAGTTTTAGATGGAGTTGTTGTTCCGGTTGTAGTTCTAAATGGCATGGTTGTTCTGGTTGTAGATGGGTACGTTATTATGGTTGGTGTAGTGATTATGGTGTTGGTTAATGGAATAGTTGTTCTACCTGAAGATGGAATAGTTGTTCTGGCTGTGATTGGAGTAGTTGTTTCTAGGGTTTCAATTGGTGTTGCCCTTGTATTTGGAAAAGTGGTTTTGATTGAAGTAGAAGATGGTGTAGTTGCTTTGAACGAAGATGGTGCAGTTGTTGATGTAATCGCTATTCTAGTTGAGACCGAAAGTGGAATGGTCTTTATAATTGTGGCCGTTTTTGTAGATCCTTTTGTACTCTGTGTAGTCTGCATAATTCGAGTTAAATGGGTCGGTGTAGTTACTTCTGAAGGTCTTTCGGTTGTTATTGTGGAAGTTAAGATTGAGTCTTTAGTAGTAGTTGCACTATTTGATGGAGAGACGTTGGTCGATGACCTTTCTAGATCAATGACGTTAGTTTCCTTCATCGAAGTAATAGTTTCTCTGGTTGTCCCTGTTGATGTGAAAACAACTGTTGTAACTGGGGTAGTTACTTGTGTAACTTCAGATATATTGGTCGTCTCTAAACTGATGCCATGGCTTGCAGTGACATTTGAAAACAATGAAGATGAAGTTGAGGTATTTTGATACAATGTAGTGGGTTCTGATGATGTGCTTTGGTTAAAAACAGATTTCATGAATGGAGATGTTAATGGTGAATGGGTAATATTGACAACGTCGATTGTTGAAGAAGGTATCGCTGAAAGGAACGCAACGTAAAGTTTAAACAAAAATATTGTTAATATAAGCCTAACAGAGAGTAGGTAGAAAATATATTTCAAAATTGTGTTTTGATTGTACTAGGTTACTATTCCATTTTATGTCAATTAAACGACAGACATAAATTAATTAAACATTTTAAGATTTCTGAAGATGTAAACCATTCTCAGGAATTATTCAAATTATCTAAATAAATTTAACATACTCACCAGACGAGGTTGGTAATCTGAAATCAAATTTTCAATATTCTTAGTTTTATATATTAATATTTCTCATTTAGTTACAATACAGTAATGAGAGAAAATTAAAGATACGTTGCAGGCTATAAATTAATATTTAGACATTTTTTCTCATGGCAAGCTTATAATCAACTCTCCAGACCATTGGATGGACGAGATTTAAATGAACACCCAAAAGATTAAAAAATTCTTACAGCCATACTTCAAGTTATTTGAATGAAATTTTCAATATTATATCCACTTTTCAATATCTATCATTCTATGAACTATTAAAGCAAGAATGGTCAACTCACTATCTAAATCTTACACAATAATCTTTAACTATCTGTTATGGAAGTTAGAATATAAAGACACGGAACTATCTAAGGTAGATAACTTACGTGCACTGATATCTAATCCCAGATTTAATACAGTGTCCATCACAGATTATACATTTTGCTGCTGATTTTTTAAAATCTAAAATAGAAATTATTACTACGAACACAAAAGAAAAAGAGAGAAATGTGGTTTAACGTCCACTCGACACAAACTAGGTCATTTCGGGACTAACATATGGTTTTAATGTTATTTCAATAATTCGCTTGCGCGTAGGGGTCTCTAGCAGTGGGAGGAAACCGGAGGACCCGGAGAAAACCCACGAGTTTGGACAGGCGACCCTACTCCTTGTCACGTACAACCGGGGATTCGAAACCACGCCAGTTGACTCAATGACAGGCTTTATGATACAGCGCGCACACGCTAACCATTCGGCCATCCAACCCCCCACGAACACAAAAGAATTAATCTTAATAGCAATTATTCGTCCATTCTGACGGTATTTAAAACAAAAAATACATAGTAAATGAAACAAATAATACATTGTTTTTAAAACAAAAAAAAATACATATTCATGTGTCCTCAGCCAGAAGTTAAAGCGATTTCATATTTTCTAAGAAAGTCAAAACATATTTATATATCTATTGTCTTAATAGGTTGCTACATTAATTTTCATTATTCAATCATAAATAATATGTTCTACTCGCCACGGCACTTGTAAGTTGTAATATTGTTCACTAGAAAACCAAGTCTACAATGCAAGTGGGAGTTGTCGCGATTGTCCACGTCTGTGGGTAAGGATTCTTCCTTTGTTCTTTTCGTTGAATGGGCAAATTATTTTCCCTCTAGTAGATTTAGTGGAGCTTAACCGTGCAATAACTAGACATGTTCAATGCTATTGCACACTTTTGCTGGTTTACGCCAGTTTTAAGTTTTAGTAGAAATCATTTAGAGAATTGGGCTGGGGTTTATGTGCAATAACAACGAGCATTTGGAGCAGGTGTCGATGTTACAAGTTATTTATAGCACGTTTCATTCGTTACCAGGTTTAACACCTCGACCTCACGGCCTCTGTGGTTAAACCTGTTAAGATCAAGGCAAAGTGACACCATCTTGTTTTAAACTAGTCTCGACACTAACAAGGCTGGACATATTATTTTCCAACACAGAATAGTGGCCCTTGGTTACAAAAGTTGAAAATAAACTATATTACACACAATACACTATTTCACTGTCAATACCTCTCCTCTTTAAATCGAACACCCGCATGTTATTATGTAAACGGAAATTTCAATTTATAACTTTCTTGCCCAATCTCAGTTACATTAACAGAAAAAACTATAAAATTTGGGGACAGCTATTATCTCTCTATTGATACTCTGATCTATGTAGTGCAGTAGTCAAGCCTTACAGTTTCGAGTAGCTTTCCTGTTTCCATATAGTGTGAGGTTTTCGTGCCTTTGCTATCACACAGTTGGAGTCCGCCATTTGTTTTTCAATCTTGAAAAGGCCCTTCATATCTTTAGACGAGCGAGGCTATTAATGGTTATACTGACAACATTCACCGAAACATTATATCGATAAGAAAAGGTTTCATTTACATGACCATACACACAATTATGCCGTATTCCGTTTAGTAATTATACTTCACTGTTTTATAAACGTAAACATTGTCTTCGGTAACTATCGTCGTCTCCCAATTCCAAAGTCCTTGACCTTATACTTACGTCAATAAGCAAAGCATCCCAACCTTAGGCTGCCTGTCTACAGCTAGCCCCGCCTGAGAACAGGCCCTAACCTAATTAACCGACATTTTAATTCCTACATCGACGATTTTTGAGAAAACACCGAGTATGCTTTTAGAAATTTTTAGAAGTATTTATTTCTCTTCTATTTTCATATTGAATGAAATTAAATATGTATATTTAGCCGTTGTGTGTATGAAAGATGTCAAACTGATCAAAGCGGAATCACAAAATAGTCCACTTATTATTCATTATGGCGGCGCCCATGAAAGATAATTTCACAGATACGGTTTTGTTTGCGAAGACAAATTTAGTAGTATCTAACCTTGTTTTGAAAGACAGTTTACAATGGTAAAAACTGTATTGCAATATTACCCACTAGCACATATTCTATATCGCTTTTACCGGAGTGGCAGAAGTTCCCAAGGTTTTCAGCTCAGTGGGGAAGGGGGATGGGCAGCTCCTGAATGCTGAATATCGATAGGGTTCATTCTCTGAAGAAAACTGTGGCCTTCATTAGAAAAGGGGAATGTTGGATATTGATAAAGTGATGTATAAAAATAAAATTTATGACGATGTTTGTCAAGAAAAACTGCATATGGGATTATAAAATTATGGAACCTTTTACAGCCAAAACATGAAGAATTACTGGTAAACCTCTCCACCCTTCTTACAAAAATATTACATCTTTGAATGTACAATCATAAATATATCACATAATAAAATTCAATACCTGGACTTTCTGAGAATGGTGTCACAGTCATAAGACAAATGGAGAGAGAGAGAAATGGGGTTTTAATGTCCACTCGACACAAACCAGGTAATTTCGGGACTAACATATGGTACAATTATATTTCAATAATTCCCTTGCGCGTAGGGGTCTTTAGCAGTGGAAGGAAATTGGAGGACCCGGAGAAAACCCACGAGGTTGGACAGGCGACCCTACTCCTTGTCACGTACAACCGGGGAATCGAAACCACGCCAGTTGACTCAAATAAGACAAATGGAATGGAGATATAAAATTTGTATTATACAAAAGCTGTCCCCTCTTTACTGTACTGTAGGTTATAACCTTATCTTTATTTTATTTTTAAAAAAGAATAATATATCGTGTAATAAATCATTTTGTGTGTCTGTTCAAATGACCTCTGTTGGTCTGTTGATCGAAATGGCCAAACTTTTTCTCATATGGAAATACCTCTTTCTGTTAATCCGACCCAGCTGGAACCAGGAACCTTTTTGTAACAGATGGACGGACCCCCCACCCCAACAAAATGTGAAAAAGATTACATATAGAGTATCTATAAAACGCTATATTATATCCATATTACCTTCCGTTTCTGTGACATTATCGATACTCTCTTTATAAAAGACACGTGTTGGGGCAGATATCTGGGTACAAACACCATCAAGTTGAAAACAGTTGGTATCCTCTATAGCAACAAGTTGCTTAGCTACTGATTGACAAATACTTTCTCGTTTACAATCTTTTATAACAGGATCTGTTGATAGTGTAAGTTCATAGTCTACTATAATACTACCAGGTCTACAAATATACAAACATTAATGTTGATAGTGTTAGTTCATAGTCTACTATAATACTACCAGATCTATAAATATACAAACATTAAAGTTAATATTATCAATTCATAGTCTACTATAATACTACCAGATCTAGAAATATTCAAACATTAATGTTGATAGTTTTAATTCATAGTCTCCTACAAAACAGTCAGGTCTACAAATATACTGACATTGATATTGATAGTGTTAAGTCATAGCCTACTATAATACTACCAGATCTACAAATATACAATATTAATGTTGATAGTATTAATTCATAGTCTACTACAATACTTCCAAATATACAAAATACGTTAATACGTATGGCAAGATCAGTATTAAGTTAATTTATGGTTTATTTTTATTGTACTTCTACATATATAAAGAAATGCGAAATGAATAGAACATTAAGGCATTGCTTACTATGGGCGTTAAATTTGGCGCGAAAACTGCACGGAATTCATGGTAATGAATAACAACCAGCGGCTGCCAGGCAAGATACACCCACGTTTTCCAAGAGATGGGCAGAGAACAAGCTAAAAAAAGGTGATTTTTCGTACAATCAAGGGCCGTATCGAAAGGAACCAAGAGTTTTGGGCTATAAAGATATATTTCAAGTTTCATCCAAATCGAATCAAAATTGTGACTTCTAGAGGGCCCTCAACCTTGATATACCATATATTTACACTATTTAATTGCGAACGAGTGGGGATTATTTTGTCCGGCAGTTTTGATCCCATTTTCATAAAATTCGAACTCGGCCTTCATTAGGGTGTAACGGTGATATATGCAAATGTAGTTGTTTTTTTTTCAGTCGGATAAAAAATTGTGACCTCTAGAGGGACCACAAGCTAATACGAAATTCGAATTCGACCATCATTATTGTGTAACGGTGATATATTCAAAACACGCTTTCTTAAATCGGATAAAAATTGTGACCTCTAGAGGGACCACAAGCTAAAAACATGATTTTTCATACAATCATGTATTTCAAGTTTTATCAAAATCGAATCAAAATTGTGGCCTCTAGAGTGTCCACAACCTTGATATACCATATATTTACACTATTTGCGTACGAAGGGCGGCCATTTTGTCTGGCAGTTTTGGTTTGATTTTCACAAAATTCGGACTCAACCATCATTAGGGTGTAACGGTGATATATTCAAACGTATTTTTAGATCAGATAAAAATTGTGACCTTTAGAAGGACCACAAGCTAAAAACGCAATTTTTTGTACAATCAAAGGTCATAATTCAGGATGAAGTTACGATCCGATATGCATGAATATCGAAAGGAACTATGATCTTTCAACAAAACCGGATCAAAATCGTGGCCTCTAGAGGTTCCACAACCTTGATATACCATATTTTTACACCAATTACGTACGAAGGTCGGCCATTTTGTATCGCAGTTTTGGTCTGATTTTCACGAAATTCGAAATATAGTGTCATGACGGTGTAACGGTGATATATTTGACCGGTTTTTTTTTAAATCGGATAATAATTGTGACCTTTAGATGGACCACAAACGCGTTTTTTCTCACAATCAGGGGCCATAATTCAGGAAGTTACGATCCGATATGCACAAATATTTAAAAGTACCAAGATCTTTGGGTTATAAACATGCATTTCAAGTTTTTCATCAAAATCAGATAAAAATTGTGACCTAGAGAGTGTCCACAAGCTAAAGACAATCAGAGGCCACAATCCATGAAGTTATGGTTCGATACATGCCAGTATCGAAAGAAACCGAGATCTATGTAGGCGTATAAAAACACTTGATAATACAATGTATTTTGGCGAGTGATTAAGCAGTCGATGTACT